TGCACCATCCTCGACCATCCACGACCTTGAGTTTGATCCCGCAGAATGGGCTTGGAAACTCTCGTCTTCCACAGGAGTGGAGCGCCGCATCAGCATTTTGGATTACTCTACGCGTCTTGGGCACAGACTGAGAAGGCAGGCGGTCAACACCCCTGGTACACTGGTGCCAAGGTGGGAAAAGCATGTGCCAGGAGGCCTGGGAGGCTCTTGGCACACGGTGCTATCACTCAGAAACATAAAGGTTAAAAGCATGTAGTGGCTGATCATCTATTACGTACTCCTGGTCAACAAATGGCTCAGCAAGTGTTGCTCTCAGGCCAATAGACATGCCCTGGATGACCACTGTACTGTCTGCCACCAGGGGACAACAGAGCACGTTGTCCACTGCCTGCTGGCCTGCCCAACGCTGAACAGCTTTGGGTTAAGGCACAAAGCATTTGGGACTTTGCAGCGGGAGTGCCATTTCCTTCAGACCCGGTGGCGTTGCTGACCGGCTTTTCGGCACCGACAAACCAACAAGCCTGGGAACGGATGCTGTACAAAGGCTCCACCCGTTCACACTTTGGGCAATTTGGAAACGAGGGTGCAAGGGGGCGATTAACTTGCAGACAATAACCTCAGAAGCGGAGTGGTCCCGTCCTATCCAAAAGCTGCAGGACAAATATCACTCAGACTGGGCCAGAGCCAAACAACAAATCAAGAAGGACCCAACAAAGAGGCAGGAGATCACCAATAACTTCAGGCAGCGGGTATTGGGAAGTGAGAAGTCAGGAACAGTAGGTAACAGCAAGCACGCTCAGACTCACCTGGGGATGCACCTCAACGCGGCCGGCCAACTTGGACCCTTCAGACGGCGTTGCGTTCACAGCAAGACATGTCTGCGGTCTCGGACATCCGTCTTCAGGCGGCACGACTAGGCAAACATGGCTTGTGGTCTGGGGCGCACATTGGTTTCACTGTGTGTCAAGATACATAGGGAGCAGGCCTGCTGACAGTTGGGCCGACAAGCACTTCGAGTCTCTCGGAGCTGTGAGCACACAGACTACACTGAGCATAGGCAGGTGGCCTTGACCCTAACCCGAGGGTGGTTTGAGACGTGTTCAAATTCGGAGGGGGCGCTGTGCAGGAATCTGGAGTAGTCGCTGCTACTTAGAGGTCCCTTGGCCATATGGATGGAAGCGTGAGGGTGCTCTTGTTGGGAATTTGCCTTAAGGCTGAAAGAATAGCTATAGGATAGGCAAGCTGACAGTCAATCCTCCAGACACCTGGAGTGATAAATGCTGCTCAGGGGTCCTTCAGCCATACGGAAGGAAGTGTGCGGGTGTTCTTATTGTATATCTGACTCGCCGGTGGAAAAGGAACCGGACTGATGCTCCCCAGAATGATATGGAGCCAGGGGTATAAAGTCCTGTTCTTTTTTCTCAGCAGTTTTACCTCCAGATCTGTGCATGGGTTCAAACCCCAGCTGCAACCATCAGGCAGTTGGAACTTCACCAGCTGTGCCAGGCTTCAGGCCCAGGCTTAACTACTAACATTTAAAAGTGTGTGTGAGCATTGTGAGACATGATACTTTATGGGTTCCAAGGGAGAATTGGTTGCAAGGGGTGGTCGGGTGGGTGGGTGGGCGGGCAGGTGCACGTGCATGGGTCGGCAGCGCTATTCTTTTTCAGGGCGATCTCTATAAAGTCCTGTTCTTTTTTCTCAGTAGTTTTACCTCCAGATCTGTGCATGGGTTCAAACCCCAGCTGCAACCATCAGGCAGTTGGAACTTTACCAGCTGTGCCAGGCTTCAGGCCCAGGCTTTTTTTTAATTTTTTTTAACCGAGAGGTTCTGATCTTCCACCCCCTCCCAAAAAAAAAAGAAAAAAAAAGGCTTCAGGCCCAGGCTTAACTACTAACATTTAAAAGTGTGTGTGAGCATTGTGAGACATGAAACTTTACGGGTTCCAAGGGATATTTGGTTGCAAGGGGTGGTCGGTCGGGTGGGTGGGTGGGTGGGCGGGCAGGTGCATGTGCACTTGCATGGGTGGGTGGTTGTAGGCAGCGCTATTCTTTTTCAGGGCGATCTCGCACGGCACCCTGGATGGCACTCCAGTCTATGTTTCAACTCACCACTTTTCTTTTTCATTTTCCCGCACGAACTGTGTCTCCTTTTCTTGCTTCCGCACGACTCCTTTCTCTCCATGTTGCTGACCCGAATCGAACTCCCGTCTGTGTTTCAACTGTTAGTGGGCCATTCGTTCCTGAGATTTGCAACACTCCTTTCGCTTCTGGCCCTCTGACACATCCACCACACTGCATAATTTGTCAGAACATGTCAGACAAACATTGGTGCGTTCTGACTTTTCACTCGCGATCCTTTCAATTTTCTGTTCCTCACGTGCACTAAGTTACTAACCCAACAACGCGACAGCATTCGTTCCCTAAATTCTCACAATCCCTGACAATAGCTGACATTAGTTATCACACGGCCTGTATTAGTTCTGCACCAGGGCTGGTCCCCTGTTGAACCGGGGGCCCCTCCCCCGACCGGGAGCCTGCAGGTTAAACCAGCCAGTTGACCAGGCCGGCAGATTCCCGGTTGAGTCCAGCGCATTGCACTAG